GCGGTAGTGAGGAGCAGACTCTTGCTCAGAGACTCTGTCTCACCGTGGCAGTAGGGCTTGAGAGGAATAATTTCTCACTATTGTGCTTCTCATCACTCACTCTAGTCACTCATTCATTCATTAGCATGTATGTTGTACAGTGTGGTGTAGTGAGCAGATCTGCCCTCAGAGTAAAGAAGACTTTTGTTCAAGTTCTTCCTTCCAATTGGCCTCCCTACCTTAAATCTCTCCCTACTCTAAACCAGGTTCCACAGAGCTGACAGACACATAAGTCTTTCCTCTGAGCTTCAATCTCTCATCACTGAGTGCCTATTGCTTATCAGTTTGTAAATCTTACTGTACTATAGAAGTTATTATTATGAATTCCAGTTCTTCGGTTTGCTAATTTTTGTTTGTTTTTTTGGTGAGGCAATTGGGGTTAAGTGACTTGCCCAGAGTCACACAACTAGTGAGTGTTATGTGTCTGAGGCCACATTTGAACTCAGGTCCTCTGGAGTCCAGGGCCGGTGTTCTAGACACTGCGCCACCTAGCTGCCCCCCAGGTTTGCTAATTTTTTTAAATCATTTTTTACTTCCCCTCTCCTCTGCCATTTGTTAACTTCTAATCTCCCAATTCATCTCCACCACTCTTTGCTTCATTTGCCATCACCCTCACTTAACTTCAGGCTTTATCATTCTAATGTTTCACTAGCTACAACTACCCTAAAATCCCTTTCACCTATAACCTTCTACCATTCCCAAGCTTCAAATCCTCATCTTTAGCCTAAGTCCCACCAACCAATTTCTCCACTCCTGTTCTATGACTGCTCTAACTACCAAAACCCACAAAATTAATTTGATTTCATCCACTACAAATACATTTTATGTAACTTCAGCTAGACTTTAAACAATACTCCTATTCTACCTATAACTACAATGTCATTCCTCACAACTGTTCCAATCTTTTCTTACACACTCTTGCCCCCAAATGCATTCTTAATTCCCACACTTAGAGCAGATGACCTATCTTCCCAACTCACTAAGAAGAATGCTTTCCACTGTGAATCACTTCACCACCTCTCCTCAAAATTTCTCACTATCATCAACCACAGTTTCCTCTTCTCAGGTCACAGAAGAATCCCTTATCCTTACTAAAATTATTCTCTCTATGTACATCATTGATCTCACTCCCTCCTATAATTAGCTTCCTTCTCCAGTAATTTCCTATCTCTCATGCATCTTTTAAAAAATGTTTTATTGTGTGACTCTGGGCAAGTCACTTAACCCCAACTGCCTCACCAAAAACAAAAAAAAAAAAGGTTTACTGATTTTTTTCACATAGTGCCTTCACAATGATTTCTCCAATCACCCTCCTCCTACATCACCATCTTTGAAACCAAGATGAAAAGCTAACCAAACAAAATCCATACATTTATGGAGTCTGATAATGTATGCGTCATGCCACCTAGGAAAGAAGGAATGACAGAAAGAAGGAAGGAAGGAAGGAAGGAAGGAAAAGGAAGGAAAGAAGGAAGGAAGGAAGGAAGGAAGGAAGGAAGGAAGGAAGAAGAAGGAAGGAAGAAAGGAAGAAGGAAGGAAGGAAGAAAGGAAGGAAGGAAGGGCGGGCATATATTATGGAGTTACCATTTACTAAGCATTGTGATGAGAGGTAGAGGACATGATTTACCATCAGTCCTAGAAGTCACAACTGTCACTGTAATGATCTGAGTTCCAAAGCCTTTCAGAGTTATTTTCACATTGAGATGGTCAGCATAATACAAATTGTACTTCTGTTTCTGCATCAGTTCTCTTGCATGCCATCTTTAACCTCACTAAATCAATCAAAAAGCATTATGTGCCAAACACTGGAGACATAAAGATAAAAAAAATCCTTGGAATCAAGGAACTTACATTCTATGGGGAAACAACATGTAAGCATAAGCAAATACAAAACAACAATGTAATTTTTCTTTTGGAGAAGAGAAGAGAGGCACAAACAGAAATACAGGAAAAGGCCTCATGAAGGAGGTGACAACTGGGCCAAATTTTGAAGGAAGGTAGGGATTCTAAAGGGTAGAAGTAAGGAGGGAATACATTCTATGAATGGGGGGCACTGAGTGTGCAAATGCACAGAGATAAGAAATAGAATGTCATATAGGGGTAACAGCAAATAGGCCAGTATGGCTGAAATTCAGATGTACGAGTAACTGTAATGCAGAATAAGTTTAGAATGGCAGGCCACAGTCAGATTATAAAAGGTTTCAAACGCTAAATGTAATCTGTATTTTATTCTACAGGCAACAGAGTATCTGGAAGCAACAGAGGCACCAGAGCTTCTTGAGCAGGGTTATGTAACATGGTCAGACCTGTGCTTTAGAAATGTAATTCTTGGGGCAGCTAAGTGGTACAGCAGATAGAGCACTAACTCTGGATTCAGGTGGACCTGAGTTGAAACCCGGCTGCGTGACCCTGGGCAAGTCACTTAACCCCACTGCCTAGCCAAAAAAGAATAAAAAAACAGAGTTGTATAGATAGTGGAAATGCAAAAAAAAAAGAAAGAAAGAAAATTTAAAAAAAGAAATAAAATCTAATATTTAGTTAAAAAAAAAAAGAAATGTAATTCTTGATAGCTCTGAGGAGGAGAGACTGGAGAACTAAAGAGACTTAAGGTAAAGAGACCAATTAGGAGACTATTACAATAGTCTAAATTGGTGGTTTCCAAAGTGGGGTCCATAGCATGACCCCAAGGGTTGTGTGATGAATCATTTAGAGGGAGACGAGTCACATCTTGCCTTCACCAGCATAGCCAAACCTAGTGTTGTCTTCAATATAACCACATCTATGCTTGACTCATTACAGTCCAACAATCCCCTATTCCATTCCCTCTCAAGACTGTGTAAGCTCCCAACATTCTTTTTTTTATGGGCCCTAGTAGGCAGTTATAACCTAACCCCTACCTGCAGCCATTGGGAAAATCTGCCATATTTAGGTCAGACCTATACCCAAACCCTAAGCATATCTACCTTCTAATCCCTATCATCTCAGGGCTGGGACAAGCACCATTGGACAGGCTCTATACTGCAGCAGTAACTGCCAAATGAAAGCTCTACCTCTCACCCACCCACTCCACCCCTGACTTTTCATTTTGGGTGGGATGGAGTAAGTCGAACAGGATGAATGGGGTATGATCTGCATCACAGATCTCATTACATAACCTATCCCCTCAAATCCAACCACTTTCCTAATCTCCCTATTTTAGTAATGGGTAACATCACCACTGCCACTCCCCCCCCCCACTCCACCCTCACCCCGAGCTTCTCATCACCATAGTTCACATTACCTGAACTATTCCTTCTGGTTGGTGTCCCTGACTCAATTCTCTTCCTACTCCTTCCACATAACTGTCAAAGTGATTCTCCTCAAGTGTAGGTCTGACAATGTCACGCTTCCCATTCAATAAGCTCTAGTGGGTCCCTATTACTTCTAGGGTCAAACAAAACCCCACTGTTTGGCACATAAAGCACTTCACAACCTGGCCCAGCCTGCCTTCCCATCCATGTCACACACATACACACACACACAAAACCCTCCTCACCCTTATGCAACTCTTGCAGCCAAACTACTCTTTGTTGATCTTCACATTCATACAACTAAAATAGCCATACACGAACAGCAAACAAGGTCTGATGTCATCCATGCAGAACCACTGAAAGGAAGAGGAATAGACTGATATTGAAAATACTCTGCTCAGCTGAAATGAGACAATTTTTTTTAAAAAAGCATCTGCTTGTGTAGTTATAATGATTAATTAACTGAGTAACTACTAGAAATTATTATTTACAAGTCTGCCACATCCTCCAAGATATACACAGAAATTTCGGGAAAAGAATGAAGCAAATTCAATCACACTGCTCTCAAAAGCAAAAAAAAAAAATTTGACTATTAAGACAAAAATTTTAAAAATATGCTTATTTTATCTTTACTCATTTTTAAACTTTTCTATTTAGAATATGCTTCATGACATTCTTAACAATACCATGTATATATAACTTATAAATAAACATACACATATTGGGTGTGCATCATCAAAAAAACTCTGAAACTACTCGTCTAGGTAAAAGAGGCATTAAAGGCCTGAATGAAGACAGTTGGAAGCCATATTGATGCAAAGGGGATAGAGATGAAATGTTATGGAACTAGCACTGGCAACACTACGCAACACTACTGTCTATAGGTATAGTGAAGCAAAGTGAGGAGTCAAAGGCAAATTCAAGATTTTGATCTTACGTGATGAGAAGATAGCAGTGGCTTAAAAATAAACAAAAAATAGGAAACTTAGGAAGAGGGGTAGAATTGGAGAGCAGAAAGATAATGAATTCTGGTTTGGATATTGTGAGCTTGAGATGCCCACCAAAAAGCTGCAATTTGCAACTGCATTTGTCTGCAAGCATACACAGGTCTCCCAAATGGTTTCTGTGGTGTTTTTTTAAAGCCTCCACTTGCCCCTTCTATCCCACCCAGCTAAATTCCTGTCTCTCATTTCACCTTCAGGCAAAACTTGAAAATACCTGCTTATGATCCACTGCTTTTACTACCATTCTCTCAATGCCTACAAATCTGGCTTCACCTCTAACCACTCTACTGCAATTACTCTCTCTCTCAAAGGTCATCACTGACTTCCTAACTGCTAAATGAATGAAAAAGCATTTACTAAACACCTACTAGGTGCAAAGCATTGCACTAAGGGCTAGAGATACAAATAAAACTGACAGTCACTGATCTTAAGCAGCTCATATTCTAACAGAGGCAACAATATATAGGTTTTAGCTGCAAATCAGGTGATCCTCAAAATGTAGAAGCAAAGTAGATGGTAATGCATGTTTTAAACATTATTTCCATTAACAAAACTCTATGTTTCTAATGTTGAACCACTTGTCAGTGTCAAGAAAATTGGTGACCAGAACTTTTTTTTCCTGGGTCTTCAGCTACTATGACTCCTGAGAAGGTGGGGGCTGCATCACCTGCAGAAGAAGGTAACAGGTCTCATTTCCACACTTCCTTGGACTATGGCTGTGGGAATCAAGTTGGAAGCAGGGTTGTTGAGGGTCAGTGCTGTTTCCAGAGCTCTTGGGGATGACCTGTCCATCAGTTGGTCATCAATTGGTGTTGGTGGTAGGGATGGCAGGCCCCATTTCCATAAGAGTTGCTTCCCTAGATAATGGATGCAAGTCAATAAATCAGTCAACAAACATTTATTAAGCACCTACTATATGCCAGGTTTTGTGCTAGGGACAGGTTTGAAATAGTTAAGTTGTGTAAGGAGCACTACTATTCCCAGGGCTCTTGTGCTTACCAGACTATGAGGGGGGGCTGGTTATGATTGGTGTTGGTAATGGTGGGAAAGGCAGGCCCTTCTCTGTGACAACGGCTCACATAATGATGGCTGCAAGGACCTGCCTAAAAGCAGGGCTAATCTCTACTTTCGTTAAGCTCTCTAGTTACTGGCCATACCCTTCACTCTGCTTTTCCAGCTATTTTGTCCTCATCTAGTTTCAGAAACCCATGATTTCCTGGTTCTCCAAATATTCTTGTATTCTTCACTGGTTCCTCAATCTTTCCTAGACCCCTTAATATAAGGTTATTTCCTAAGTGCCTGACCTTGTCCCTCTTCTCTTCTTTCTATACCGATGACAACCAACTATCTATCTAATATATATATGTACACATAAACATATATGTAATATGTGTATATACATATATCTGCATATGCTTATATGTATACGTGTATGTGTGTGTATACACATACACACCCGGATAACCCAAAAGGCACCTTGTCCTATTATCTTTCTTCAAAAACCTATTCCTCCTTCCAACTTTACTGTTTTTGTTCATGGCACCATCAATCATATGGTCTCTCATGTGCCTAACCTTAGGGATTATCTTTGATTCTTCTTTCTTCCTCACTGCCCTGGATATTCAATCAGTTACTGTCTTATTACTTACACCTCTGCTACATCTCTAAGATGCAACCTATCCCACTATCATTTATTATAATCTACCTAGATGACTGCAACAGAGGCAGAGACAACTGTCAGGAAGCTACTCTGTCCTGCTCCAATCCATCTTTCATGCTGTTGGTAAAGTTTTTCTTATGCATAAATATGGTCATTTTATTCCACTGTTCAAAACTTTTCACTGGTTCCTTGTTGCCTAAAAAATAAAATTCAAACTCCTTTGTTTGGTCCTCCAAAATCCAATACCACCCTACCTTTCCAACTTTATCTCATATTACTCTTCTTCACACACTCCCTTAGCCAACCCAACTACTCTCCCTTTTTCCCTTTAATTGTCCCCATAACTGGAATGTCTTTCCTCCCTGAATTCACCTGCTGAACTCCTAACCCATGAGGCAGTAGAAAAGAGTGCTAGATTTGGATTTAGTAAAATCTGAGTTCAAATCCTCCTTCTGGCACTTACTAGTTGTGTGATTCTAGGCAAATCCCCAAATCGGAAAATTTGAGATTTTGGCTCAGTTTCCATATAGTACAACCTATACACAAAATGCAATCGCTATAATATACTTAACAATGTATCTTAGCTTTACTTAATCTCTCTTAAGTCTGAGTTTTCTCATTTAGAAAGATACAGATATCAATTGAATGTATGTCACAACTCAAATGCCATCTCCTACATGATGTTTTCTTTGAAACTTCTTCATCCACAGTACTGGTATAAAGGTCCTCTTGGGAAGAAGGGAGGGTCACAGAACAAATTTTGTTTTGCAACTATCTGATGACTTTTATCACATAATATTGTGTAACTATTCCCTTTGAAGACTAGAAGTTTAACAAGGGCAAAGATGGTCTCAAACTGTGCATGTCCCCCAGATCATAAGGCAAGCTTTGGTCATAGTAGGGTAACTATTATTGATAAATACTTGCTGATACTACTGCTGCAAATGTTTTTTTCTTAACAACATTCAAAAGGATAGTTATCAAATACAAGTCTTGAAATCTATCCTATCAAGTGTTAATGATACCTATGAGAGTTGTACTTAACTCCTTGAATTCACTTTGTTACTTGTACTCTGTTCACTGGAATACAGATATCTGAGGCCTAAATATTATTACCAAAATTCTTTCCAGTTGTTTTCTCTCCTATAAATTAGAGTATCTCCACTTCACCACTATTTTTCTTTCAGTCTCATATTTGATGCCTTCTAAGCAGTGGTGTCAAACTCAAAAAAGAGAATCACTAAACAATATATGAGAATCACTGCAGGCTGCATACTGACATGGAAAATCACATATTAACATTAGATTCTATTATATTTTTATCTATTTTGTTAAATATTTCTCAATTATATTTTAATCTGGTTGGGCACACTGAGATTGTTGTAGACTGTAACATATGTTGGATATCTCTTTTACAGAATCCAAATTTATAGCTGTTTGGTCAGTTTCCAACTAAATATGCTTTTCCCAGTTAGTACTGTCATCTTTGTATACAAATGACAGTACTGTCCCAGATTTCTTTTGACTATATGGATGAATTAGCCAAACCACCCAATTTTCCCCATCTTCATGACTACCACCAACAAAATACACAGGTTAGGTTGCAAAGACACATGCTTTCTACCTCTTACTGATCACAGGATGATAGTCCACCCTGCGTACAGTGAAGTTCTCCAAATGATCGTATTTGTGGATTACATTATGTTGATTGTATCAAGCCCAGAACATTGAAGAGCTTCATAGATCTATAATCACTCAAAGGACTTTGGTCTGAACACTCACACAAATATCCAAGTGGATGAAGATTTATTGCCCAAATTCCAACAGGCATTTACCAACAGTATGACTATCAAGGATAGACAATATTACAAATGGACAATGAGCCAGGCCCACAGTTAAAAATAACAGTGTGGCTGGAATACTTTCAGGAAATTGCAAGGCTCTTTTATTGACCTCCAAGCTTCTCATAAAAACAAAGGCCTATCTTTTCAATATTTACGTTTTGCCAGTGTTGCTACATGGCAGCCAGACATGGAATACAACTCCCTCCATAGAGCTAAAAATGAGAATCACATACAGGACAACTGAGAATCGTACGGTATGCATAAACAGACTGGACAGATAGCCAACAAGGAACTCCTAAAAATAAAAGTAAAAGAGGTCATCAAGAAATTGTATTACAAAAAGGATGGAATGGTCAACTGGCAAGAGTAGTGGATGACAGGTCTAGCTAGAGTGCTCCAAAAGTACTCTTAATATGTCAGGAGAAAGCACATATGGCCTATTGGGTGAACCTCTGTATTTAACACTTTAAAGAATAAGGACAATAACTGCACAGGATGTGCAAACATGGAAAGGTCACTGAGGGGGGGATTCCTCAATCTAGGAGATCATAGATCCTTTTCAATTAAGTCAATATGTCAATTGCATATTATCACAGACATAGGATTAGCCATTTAGAGCTAAAAGGAACCTTAAGGGGTTTTCTAGACCAATCTCATGATTTTACAGATGAGGAAACTGAGATAGTACTAAGTAATATAGCCAGAATTTGATCCCAAGTTCTTTGACTCCACTACAGCATACTATCTTACTACCTCAAAGGTAGGAAATCATGTTTTATATTTCTCTTGCATCTCCCACATAGCCTGCTAGTAGTGGGCACAAAGCAGACACAAATAATAAATACTTCCTGACTAGTCAATGTCTCTCAAGATGTTCTTATACAGTTGTTCTAAGGAAGTACTTAGGAAGGAATATTTTTTTGGTCACTTATTATTTTGGTCACTTGCCCAACACTGAAATTTTGAAGCTAATAAAAAAAAAACCCCTTACTGCTTTGATATTCCAACTTATAAATATCTTGTATGGCTAAATACATTAAATATTAATATTATATACATAATATTTATTAAATTGTTAAATACATATTATATGTAAATAATTCCTACAGTTCTAATTTAAATGGTATAAACTATATTGTATTTCAGTTTCCTCCTTAATTGGTCTATGGAGCTTGGGCTGTTCTTTCTACAGGAATTCTACAGGAATAGAACCTTGGTTGTTTGTTTGTTTGTCTGTGAGGCAATCAGGGTTAAATGACTTACCTAGGGTCACACAACTAGTAAGTATCATGTGTCTGAGGCCGAATTTGAACTCAGATCCTCTTGACTCCAGGGCTGGTGTGAGTCTTGCTTTTTTGTTTGTTTGTTTTTTACGAAGCTACCTAAACAGGTATCACAAAGAAGGGAAAAAATACTCTAGAGAATAAGAGATTAACAATGAGAAGGTAAAGCCAGGCAACACTTTACTGATTTATGATTTTATACTAGTAGTCTTTGGGTTATACAGGGAGTTTGGTAAGCCTTTTTACCAGACTTTAAAACATTTTTATTTTAGGGCATTTTTCTTTTTTACGACTACTGATGTAAGACTAGTTCAATTTATACCTTTCCTGTGAACATATTAATTTTAAAAGTACTTTTTTTAAACCCTACTTCCCTCTTTCTTAATGGTAAGTAAAAGTCAGAAGTAAAATGATTTTGGTAATGAATGACAAAATAAAGAAACAAGCATGTTTCTCTGAGTTATTTTTGTTACTAAAATGTGGTTCAGATGAGGTATATGTGCAATGAATAGGTAATGGGGAAACTACGTGATGAAGTGCATAGAGCCCAGGGCCTGGATTTAGGAAGACCTGAGTTCAAATTCAACCTTAGATACTATTAGCTGTGTGACCCTGGGCAAGTCACTCAATCTCTGTCTGCTTCAGTTTCCTAAACCATAAAATGGAGATAATTATAGCACCTACTTTGCAGGGTTGTTGTGAGAACCAAATGAAATAATATTTGTAAAGCACTAAGCACCGTGCCTGGTACATAGTATGCACTATATGTTATTATTATTACTAATGACCATATCATGTTCTCATGACAGCAGTAAATTTCAGAGAAAGGCCTCTCAGAATGGTTACATTGCAGACAGCAACAGTGCAAATATGCATACTTATTAAATGTACATCGTTCTAACCTGAAGTACCCATCCTCAGGGATTTGAAAGAAGTTAAATATCCATATCTCTAATTCTTTGGCATTTATTAGCATAGCGCTTTACACTGTACTTTGCACACAGCAAGGCTTAATAAATGCTGCACTCATTCATTCTATTATTTTAATTACTAAGGGAGCAATCAATTCC